GACGGGAAGGGGGTTCTGACAGGAGCCTGACGGGGGTCTGGGGGGGTTGGTCCGACGGGAGGTCCGACAGGGGGAATCTGAGGGGGGGTTCTGACAGGGGCCTGACGGATGGGGATTCTGACGGGCGTCTGATGGGGGATCTGACGGAGGGGGTCTGATGGGGGTCTGATGCCCTCTCTGTCCCCCAGGCTTGGACGTCAGGCAGGCACAGGTCATCGTCCTGTCCTCGGGCACCAAGTGCATCAGCGGCGAGCACATCAATGACCAGGGGCTGGTGGTCAATGACTGCCACGCGGAGATCGTGGCCCGGAGGGCGCTGGTCCACTTCCTGTACGCACAGCTGGAGCTACACCTCAGGTAAGTGGCGACCCCAGGGACGGGCCTGTGTGGACAGCCGTCTGCCCACAGCACATTGTGACCCAGATGGTGCGTCCGCTGAGCGCTGGCCAGCCTGAAATGCCAGGCCTCCTTCTCCTCTGGCCTCCCTCCTGGGGCACCTGCTCGCCCACGGATGGCTGCAGCAGATGGTCTGCAAGGTGCACGCGCCCCGCCTGCCCACACGTACAGACACGCCTGGTAACAGGCTTATCCCCCCAGTAATGGGGACTGTTCAGGCCCAAGCGGCCGCCACAAAACACCACAAGCTCCCACTCACTCGCAACTCTCGCTGGACGTCCAGGATTCAAGGGGCAGCAGGTCTGGTGTCTGATGAGACGCTGCATCCTGGGTCACAGGCAGTGTCTTCTCCTGTGTCCTCCTCATGTGTGGAAGGGGCGAGGGGGCGCCCTGGGGTCTCCTTCATAAGGACACTAATCCCATCATGGGGGCCCCACCTCATGGCCTCCTCCCCTCCCAGAGGCCCCACGTGCTGACACTGACATCCTGGGGTGCAGGACTCCAACATATTAAGTTGGGGGACACAAACGTCCAGCCTCTAGCAAGGTGGTCGCCAAAGGGCAGTGTCTCCACACGACTACAGCACCCCACAAACCCAGCCACAGGCATCTGGAGTGGTGCCCTCTTGAGGCCGGACACATGGCTGGGGGCACAGAACAGAACTGCTGTCACTGGGTCCCCCTTCCCCATTTCACTGCCACCTGCTCTAGACGCAGTAGGCAGAGGGCAACGAGAAAGACACGGGGAAATAAGACACAAAATAAGATGCAAAGGCATCGGCCCAATGGGCGCCTTTCCTATTGGTTCATAATGAGTGACGAGGACCCTCTCTCTGACCCTAGCAAGCGGCGGGAGGACTCAGAGCACTCGATATTCGAACGGTCCAAGGACGGCGGCTACCGGCTGCGGGACAACGTGCTGTTCCATCTCTACGTGAGCACGTCCCCCTGTGGAGATGCCAGGCTGCACTCACCCTACGAGATCACAGCCGACCGTAAGACACAGCCCCCTCCCCTCCGCCAGCCCCCGGGCCAGGCTTTCTGCGCTGAGCATGCTCACTCGTGTGGCCTGGCTGCCCCCTCAGCCTCCAAACCCTCGTGTGAATCACCCACGTCACTGAGAGCAGGGTGACTTGAAAAGCTAAAATTAGCTATTTAATTGCTATGGTTCTCTGCCTCATTTCAGTTGATCAGCGGCCCCTGCCCCGCTCTGCACAAGAGAGGAGGAGATGGGGAGAGCATTACGCAGAGAAAGAGCAGGTCCAGGTGGCTTTGCTCACCTGTGTTTGCAGCTTTGCAGAGAATAACGCTGAGCGTGTTTATTTATGTGTAACTAAGCCAGCAGTGGGTGTTGTCCCGGGTAGCAAACCCCGGTGTGAGCGCTGGGCAGGACCTGCCCTCTTGAGCGTTTGGTCAGAGCAGATGTGGACAGATGGGGTCCACCCAACAGAGGGGACGCTGTGTTCTGGAGTGCGGGGACACAGCCGGCCTCTCCTGTGTGGGTCTGATGACATCAGCATCTCGGGAAGAGTGTTCAGCTGCTCCAGAGTGCCAGTAAATTCTCTTCCTGATATTATTCGTGCGTGCAACATGTACCGTGCGTGCATGCACCCCCACACATGCACACACGTGCACATGCACACACAGACCCCTCCCAAAAGCAGCACCAGGCAGACCGTCTGAGGCAGGCAGTGAAATTAGACGCGTATATTATGAGGTATCTGGTCCCAGTAAAGACACTGACTCATCCCGGGAAATCTTCAGTTGAGGTGCAGCAGACGAGACACGCGTAGGGAAGGTTTATTTTTGGCATCTGATTTCCCCCACGGAAGGCTGCGTTTGTGTTCTAATTGCCATTGGAAGGACAGAGAAGCACTTTCTGAATGCCCAGGCTTTGCTGAGATAAAGCAGGTGCAGAGGAAGAGCACTTTTGAGAAACCCTACGTGTACTGAACTTAACCTAAGTTCTCTAACACGGATTACAGCCTGTCCAGAAAGATCCATTCCCCTTTTCTCCAGATTTGCTCCAAGACCCTCACTCTCCCCTGTGGAGAGTGGTCGGGGAGATCCCCATAGTGTGGCTCTGAGTGTCACCCCTCTCTTCCCCCATGGTTGCTGGAACCCAACAGCACAGCTGGGGTGGATTAGAAACAACAGGCATTGGCTGCCCACAATCTGGGGACGGGGAGTGCAGGACCCAGTGTCTGGGGGAGCCGCTGTATCCTCACGTGGGTGGGGAGGTATGGGGGCTCTGCGGGGGCTCCCTCCCAAGGGCAGTGATCACATCAGGGGGGCCCTCATGGCCTCATCACCCCCAGAGTTCCCTCCTCTTGACTCCATCCCCTTGGGGCTGGGGCTTCAACACAAGAGTTGGTCCAAGTTGTGTGTCCAACACAAACATCCAGCCCAGAGCCACACCCTATGGAAAGCAAATGCAACTGAGAGTCAGGATAAGGGAGCTCCCTAAATATAGGGGCCTTTCGGGGAGCTTCCCCGGGAGCTGGCAGGTGACAGCAGGCGCCCCCCCCCCAACAAGGGTAGAGCAGGGACCCTTCACTGTCACATATCCCAGAGAAAGGAGGAGAAACAACATGGAACAGATTCATTTTTCCTGGAGGGTTCATCAAGCTGGATCTCCAGGAGACCGGCTTCCTGTATAAAACTGTGAACTGTGCTCCATTAGACAGCTGCTTAGAACTGTCTTTCCATTTGCTCCCGAAAGTCTGGCGTCATGAAGACCCAGGAGCCCTGAGGTCTGGGAGGAGAGGTCTGGCAGAATGTTCAGGGCCGGCCCTAATTTACCTAATTTACCCACTTCCTCCTGAAGCCGGCATGGCCAAGTGGGGACAGCCTGAGACCCACTGTGTCCCCCTGCCTCTCTGCGCCCAGCACCCACCACAGCCTCCCAGCTCCCCCCCACCCCCGCCCCGGTTCCAACTTGCAAAGCCAGTGGTTCAGAAAAACAAACAAATACATCCTCAGATGCACCCTGGGGCTCACTTCCTGACACAGATGTCTTTTATTTCTTGGTGCTTTTAGAAGCGGCAGGTGCTGCTAGGAAGAAAATAGAGCATCTTCCTCACATTTTTACCGCAGATATGCCAGGCAGGAACGAGCTGCTGCTGGGGCTTATTTAAAAAAAATTTTTTTTAACGTTTATTTATTTGTGAGAGAGAGACAGAGCACGAGTGGGGCAGGGGCAGAGAGAGAGGGAGACACAGAATCTAAAGCAGGCTCCAGGCTCTGAGCTGTCAGCACAGAGCTCGACGCAGGGCTCAAACTCATGAACCGTGAGATCATGACCTGAGCCGAAGTTGGACACTCAACCACCTAAGCCACCTAGATGCAGGGGTTATTTAGACCGCAGCCTCTGGAACTTCCTCCCCAGGACCACCGAGGAGGGGCTCTCGGCAAGTCTGGACTCAGACTCCCAGCCAGAGCACACATCACCTCCCTGCACTCTCAGCAAAGCCAACACTGGCTCCTGCCAACCCCGCATGGAAGGGCTTCCCAGGGAACCTGCAGCCATCGCCCAGTGCAGGCCTTTGCTTCAGAAGGAGGGCGCACAGGGGAGATGTGGGCAACTGGGTCTCTGCTCTCAGGGGCTCTTGCCAGGGAGCCAGTGGGGACAAGTCCCTGCAGGATGTGCAGGCCTGTGGGGCCATCCACTCCCAGAAGTCAGCGCCTCTACCTCCAATAGGTAACCCTGGAGAATCCAGCCCGGCTCCATGTTCCTAAACGGAGCTCTGGAATCACAGCCCCAAAGGTGCATGGACACAGATGTGCTGGGTCCACCCGTGCCCAGGAGCCCCAGCGCTGGAGCTGAGACCTCCCCAGGCCCTCCGCACCTTCCCCACCTGCTGCCCACCACATCCCCGCATTTGTCCTCAGCCTCCTCTGCTCGGCAGAAAGCGACAGTGCTCCGGGCTCTTCTCCCCCACACACACGCACAAGACACGTGCACACACACAGCGACACCCATGTGAACACACACATCTCGACAGGTGTGTGATGCATCAGGAGCTGTAATCACACCTGAATCACATACTGAGTCTAAGAGAAAGTTCTGGACACAGCTGCTGACATCATTCCCCTTCGTCTAAAGAGTGCAGTGTGGCAAGGAAGTTCTGTAGAGAGGTCTGGACAGCCAGTAAGCCAGTGTCACATGCCGCAAGGCCCGGCAGAGAACCGAATCTGACCTGGTGTTTCCAAGAGCAAGTGCCACAGAGCGATGGTGGCCATCCACCCACGATGCCTGGCCCTGTTGTCTCAGGGGCTCTAATGGGTCCATGACTCCCTGACCCTGAAGTCCCTAAGGCCCTGTCCATGTCTCAGACAACACTGAGCCCTGTGCTGTGAAGCAGCCTCACCTCCCTCAGACGCCTGCAGCTCAAAAAATTCTAAATTCCCCAGTTTTATTTTTTTCCTCAAAAATATTCATCTAGATAGATCGTAATTCTTCCTTCATGGAGTCTTTAAAAGTGAAATCAAAACCAATCGGTCTGAAATGTTTGCAAGGCGTGTTGCCTGCCAGCAGGCGAGCTGTTTCCAAACCCGGCTTCTCTATCGGGATCACCTGGGGAGTCTCACAAATGTGGCTTCCTGCCGCCACTCTTCCTAAGATTCTGGTGTATTCAGGGTAGAGTGGGGAACTTTTAAAACCTCCCCAGTGTTCTGAGAATCTGACGTGTTTCCAGCAACAGGACTCAAAATCCCCTAGCGGCCTCCTGCCCAGATTGGGTCTGCATGCAAAAGGGGTCTCCCAGAGTCTCTGCAGGGGCCAGGCTGGCGTGGAGGGCAGGTGGACAAGGCTCTTACCAGTAGGGATGAGCCTATGCTATGACGGTCATTGGTCTTGGCGACCCAGAGCAACTCCATTCATTCCCCAAGGCCAGAGCCACAAGGGTGATGTCATGTCCTGAATGGCTGTGGGCAGAGCTGGGCTGGCCCCAGCTGGCTGTGAGGGGAGCCTCCATAGACAAGATCCAGGGCCCTTCACTGCGGCTGAGCAAGCACCATCCTCCTGACTCACCAACATCATTAATGCAAATGTCTTTCATGGTGCATCTTTTAAATAACCTGGGAAACTCAGTTCTTACTGCCATTTTCCAAGATTTAACCGCGTAAATTCTCCCCTCCATCTTCCCCCAAATGCTATGACAAAGGGCATGACTGCATCATATCTCACGAGCACGTACTAAATGCCAGTATGTTCTAAGCCTGCTCCATTGGTTGTACCTAGGGGAGTTCAAGAGATTAGACCAAAATCACATACAAAGTCTGGAAGTCTAAAGCACATTCCTGAAAGCCCTATTTCAGGTTTCTGCCCACTGAGTCACAGACGTGTGCAACATATGACAATATCAGTGCACCATAGAAAAAACACATTCAGATGACCTCATAACTGACCACCATCACGATCACCGCTGTGTCACATAAGACAAAGGACACCCACATGACTACACGATAGATGATGCAGACACTATTACAGTAAATACTGGATCTCACCGTAGGTGTACCTTCTGGGATACATACACCTTTTAAAGATGATTTAGAAATTAAAAGTTTATCTGTTGCTTAGAAATACTGTCTTCCATTCCTACTCCTTTCTCCCCCATTTCTGGCTCTCTTTCTGCCAACGGCATTGCAGCAGCCATGTCTCACTCTTTAGACACAGCTGTGCTCCCTAGGTGGGCTCCTTCAATTGCCATTGATCTCTGCTTTCTTTCCAGTCTCTCCTAAAAATTAAACATTCACTTGAAAACCCTGTAAAGCATATGACAATCCTTACTTTATCTTGACATCCCTCTTCACAGGTAAGGGCTCGAGATTGATAAATGCCATAATGAAGAGTCTGAGGACTTAGAGTACTAGCAGCAGATTAGAATATTCCTATAGATTTGGGGGTATCTGCATGCACAAGGCAGGCAGGGTCTCAACACTGCACACCCCCAGGGTCTCCCGGGTGCACTACGCCACAGCCCATGCAGATCCAGTCCATGCAGCCTCTGGCTGGACTGCTGTTTTGTTCTGCTTCAAGTGCCAACTTTAGCTCTCTCTCCCCGCTCACAATAAGGCAAGAAAGAACTGGAGGAAGTGGGCTCACCAACACTCAGAGCACCCCCCACCCCCAGGATGGATCACGCTCATCAGGGAGCATGCTGGGGAAGGCAGCCCGAGACACAGCACTTCCAAAAATAAACACTTTTCAGGAGTGCCTCATGCACCTGGCTCTTCAGGCAAAATTAATCCACCTGAGAACTTTGAGTTAACTCCTACAAACCAATTGTTGACTGAAGCCAGACTCCCTGTTGTCAGGGCATTAACGGACCATAAAGTCTACTGCATGGAAAGTCAGTTGTGCAGAAGCAGAGGGTAAGAATTTAGAAAAGCCTTACAATATATCAGGCAACTTCCAAAGTCTGAAAAATTACACAACAGTTGGAGCACCGAGAGAATGACAAGGACACTATAATTAATACAAAGAGAGGGGCAGAAAGTACCATATTCCCTGAGAAAATATCCCCATCATAGGGGGATATGACAAGCTCTATGACACTGTGGTAAACTGTGGTGTATTGGTCCTCCACTCTCCCAGTGCTGCCTGCCACAGGAAGTTGATGAGATAAGACCCCACCTGGGCAGTGTAAAGAGTCAGGTCAAAGCAAATGTTTGCTCGAGCGTCTTGAGTCATATGAATGATTTGATGTTCATTTTACCATCGTCACCATTACTGTCATCATCTCTGTCATTATATCATCTTCTACATCATTGTCATCATCATGTCTCCTCATCACCATTACCATCGTCACCATCACCCTCATAATCACCACCATTGTCATCATCACCATCATTGACATCACCATCCTGACCACCATTATAATCACCATCATCACCATCATCATCATCACCACCATTATTCTCACATCCATCATCACCACGATCATCACCATTACCATCATCACCATCATCACCATCATCACCATCGTCATCATCACCACTGTCACCATCACCATCACTATCATCACCATCATCCTCATCTCCATCATCACTATCACCATCATCACCACCATCATCATCACCACCGTTGTCATCATCACCATCATCACTACCATCACCATCATCACCACTCACCATCACCACCACCATCATCACCATCTCCATCATCACTATCACCATCATCATCACCATTACCATCATCACCATTACCATCATTACCATATCCATCATCACCATCACCATCATCATCATCATCATGACCACCAGCATCACCATTACCATCATCATCATCACCATCACTGTCATGATGATCATCACTATCACCACCAGAGTCATTGTCATCATCTGATTTCCTAGTGCCATTGAAAGCAACAGAGATTTGTACCCTCATTGTCATCATTGTGGGGCATCCCTGGCTTGCATACCCAGGGCTCAGTCTCTCATCTTGGTTCTTCCTTCTGTGGATGACTTACAGATCAGTCAAAATTGGATCTCATCAAATACCTCATTGGTGAGGATCAAAAAGCAATCTGAAACCTCTTAAAAGTTTACTTTCTTCAAGGAGTACAGCAATCTTTCTCCCTAAGACATGGGCTTGAGGTACAATGGAAATGTAGTCAAAGAACTTCAGTTCCTACAAACAATGATAAAATAGACTGGAAATTACTTTGAGATCTATAAAAGAAGGTATCTATATAAATCCACATATTTTTTATTATTTTATGCCTTCAGTAATGATAAATAAGAGAGAAATCCTATTTCCAGGACTTCAAAACTTAAATAGAACATTTTTAAAGGAAGTATCTTTAGTATCCATGCATGTCACCATATGTATGTAAATGCTGGAATAACTGTGCTATATATCATTTGTATGCAAAGCAGTTAACCATTTCCATATCCCAATATAATCCAGACTTAATGTGCAGAACTTTTTTAAAGAAAGACAGGATAAAAACAATCTTCACCTTGTTCATGCTAGTTCTCCAAATAACCATGGACTATGGGGTGTGGCGTAGGTGTGTGTGCCTCTATGTGGGGGGGGGGGGGGGGGGGGGAAGGGGGCTCCAGAAAGGAAAGGAGAATATGAAATGGAGGCATGAGGGACCCACAGGAACCAGTCATAGGCTCCATCTCGTCCTCATTGAGACCCTGGGTGACAATGGACACCCTGTTGTACTGTCCATGCCCTATCTCATCCACCCCCATAGCCCAGGAGGCAGGCATCGTGATTCGCCCTAGTTTAAGATGCAATAATTATGTCACAGTGGTCATGAGTAACTTTCCCAAGGTTAAGGAGCTAGGAAACGTAGGGCCTACAGAACACAGCCCTCAGGCCAGATCCCACCCACTTCCTTCTGTATGGCCCGTGAATGAAGCATGGTTTTCACATTTTTAGATGGCTGAGAAAGGTGAAAAGAGTAATATCTCACAACAAATGAAAGTTATATGGAACTCAAATTTCAGCATCCATAAAGTGGAATGCAGCCACACTCATTCACTGACCTGTCTATGCTGTGGCAGCACAGTGAGTGGCTGGACAGAGGCCAAAAGGCCACAGAGCCTCTGATATTTACTGTCTGGCCCATTATACAAAGTCGGCTGACCTGGTCTAGAGGTGGCACTCTGGAGCCCAGCTCTGCACCAGTCACTGCTCCCCTCCACTGGGACACTTATCTGTGCTTCCCCAGACTAGCAGGTGTCCACGGCACGGGGGCCCCCCTCCTCCCACACCACTCTGGGTGGGGATTCACCCTCTGCACAAACAGGGTCCCAGCCTCTCACAGCTGCCTCTTACCTCCTAGTCAACAGCAGTAAACACATCGTCAGGAAGCTCCGTGGACATCTACGCACCAAGATCGAGTCTGGGGAAGGGACCGTCCCCGTCCGGGGCCCCAGCACCGTACAGACATGGGATGGCGTCCTGCTGGGTGAGCAACTGGTCACCATGTCCTGCACAGACAAGATTGCCAGGTAACGGCCCCCTTGCTCACCTCCGCCCAGGTGGCTGCGGCCTGGCGAGGTCTGAGTGAGGGTGGAACAGGGAAGGTGTCCTGGGGGAGCAGGAAGCCTTATCCCTCTGCCTCTCTCACAGGCCACACTCTCAGCTGCATGTGCGTGCCCAAGCAAGGGCCTGGTTGCTGCAGGCTGCGGCCAGCAGGCACTCTCACAGAAACACGGGCTCAGGGCAGCATCACAGTGGTCCAGCTCCACCAGGCTGGCTCACGGGGCCATCGAGAAGCAGACAGAGCTTTCCAGGCCCACCTTTGCTGAGCACGGCCCTGGGAGCCACTCCCCACCCAAGTAGCCAGCCCACCTCACAGACCCCACAGCTCTCCAGAAAGCTGGGCCTTCTTGCCTCCAGCATGTGGGCCCTGCCATCAGATCTCCCTAAAGTGTGACAGACCTTCCAGAAAACGTGTCCACCCATGATGCCAGCTGGGTGGGAGTTCCCCCTCTCTGCCAGGAAAGAGTCTCTTTTTAGATGGAACATCAAAAGTCCCCCCTTGAAGGCTCTGGGCAGGGAGCCAGCAGGAGGAAGAGGGATTTACAAAGGGCATGCAGGTGCCCCTCAAAGGCACCTTGTCCTCAGGGAGAGCCCTCTTGCTCACGACCCCACCACCCTCTTCCTGTGCTCCCAGATGCCATCCCCACAGAGGAGCGTTCCTGTCACTTGGGTTTGGAAACCATCCCAGAGCACCTGGGGATGGCAGGGAGGGAACACTGCAGCAAGAGTTTTCCCCAAGACAGCCGTAAACTGTTCCAGAGCCACCCTAATGGTGACAGTAACAATGAGGTTATTGTTAAGAGTGCATCAAAACATCTCTTGGACACTTGGTTACGCTTATTAATCTGTAATCTGTAAACTAAGTAAAAATAGTGAGTTCTATGTAGATGGGGTCTTGGGGCGAGCCCCACCCCACCCAGCCACATTGCTGTCCCCAAGGTTCTTGGCCTGGAAAGCCCTCGGGTTGGAACTCACCAGAGACAGGAGAGCAAGGTTAAGGAGTGGGGGTGATGTGGAGGCCCAAGGGAAGCCAGACCAGGTGCAAGCAATGGAGGACCACACCTAGAATGTGCCACCACCACGGGGGGGACCTGGAGGCAAGATGAGGGTGGCAGGGTGTCCCCACAGGGCCCAGGGAAGGTGCACCCTCCCAGGTATGGTTCCCGGGAGGTGGACACCAGTGAGGCAGGACTGTCTGCCCATCGGTCGATCAGACGACACCTAGCACAGGGCTGGGCATGCCCACTGCTCCGCAGGTGTTTGCTGACTGGCCAGACGCCTGCTTTACCAGGAGATGCGGTGTGTCTCCTGGGAGGCCAAGAGAGGAGCTGTTGGGTGAGGCAAGAGCAAGGACAGGGCAGAGCGAGGGGAGGCCACTGTCTGTGGGCCGGGGACCCAGGCCTGCCCCAGGCCACTGCAGGCCCTGCACATGGCGCCCCTGCCTCCTCAGACTTCTCAGGCTGAGTGGCAAAGCCAAATTCCCCTGGGGAATTACCAAATAGCTACAGGAAAAGTAGGGCCATTTACCTACCTCCCTGGCTGTGACTGTCAGGGCCAGCAGAGGCGACAGGACAGCCTAATGACAATAAATCAAAGCACTGATTTCTGCATCAAACGAACAGCCCAGACTCGTCAAGCAGCTCATCTTCCAGAAGAAAATGTATTCCTCCTTTGTAATAATCTCATCTATTCAAGAAGCAGGAAAAAAGGGGCAATTTTCACTCAACGGAAATCTTCTGGGTGCCTGAAGATCACATTGGGCTTCTAAATTAACTCTCTGACTCCCTGGAAGAATGAAGTGAATTAACACTGCAGAAGTGTGATTTCATTGTCTTTGGGACCTTAAATGTCAACCGGCAGCAAATCAAATCCGGGATACAGAACACACAGCAGGGCCGTTGTTCACAGGTGTGTCCACGGCGATGCACCTGCTCCGAAGCCAGGCTCCACTTTTTTTAATAACATCTGGAAAAACAAAAGCCCACTTGCATCCCCGCAGGGGGTTCACACGGTACCCTGGGTACACGTGTGGAGACACTGACCATCACAGCTCTGGGCAGCCTGGAAGGTCAGCTGTCTCTCCCTGAGCTGAGCCAGGAACTAATGGACAGAGCCAGGTGGACCCCAGCCCCGCAGGCAGTCCCTCTCCGTGCACTGAGCTCAGGTCCCTACATCTAGTAGCAGGGCCAGTGAGGGCACACAGAGCCCTCCCCTCACTCATTCATCTCTCCAAGCCCTCACCCACCTTCCTACTGCCTCCCAGCCCCATTTTCTCTTCCTCTCTGCCTCCCCGTGTCTGTGTCTCCGTGTCTGTCTCTGCCGCCCCCCCCCCCCAAAAATGCAGGAACTGCTTGCTTCTGCGTGGAAGGGCCAAGCTCAGGGCCCATCTCTCCACAGTGAGGTGCAGGTGTGGCTCTTGCTAGACAGTACTTGCTGGCGCCCCTGCACACTGGGCCAAGGATGGCGGCGATGATGAAGGAAGATCATGCGCTGTGGTGCAGCAGTGTCTGCATGGCCCCGCACACAAGTCGAGGGTGTGAGCACCAATGCGTGAGTTATGTCGGCGCACGCGGCGGGGTTTGAACGGGAGCACACATTGGCATGTGACTCAAGACCACAAGCGTCTGCAACACACGTGATTTGTGCAGAGGCTTCACAAAGGGACCACCCGGTGATGTACATGTGCGTCTGTTTTCTGTCCTGTACAGAAACGAAATCACGCCTAGGGCTTCAGTAACGTTCCAAATAAGGACTCTTCCTACAGAAACACAGAGAAAGTGTTCCAACTCGGAGAGCTGATGCTGCCATCCTGGCACATTTGAGGTTCTGCATGGAGAGTGTGGGTATGAGCTCGGAGATGTGCAAGTCACGTCCGCCTTTCAGGAGCCTATGGCTCGGGGAGGACCCACCTGGCTCTCAAATCTGTAAGCGCAACACGCCACACGCTGGGCAGGGTCTCCAGGGCCTCCAGGGCCAACGTGGCTGATGAGCTGATGGTTTTCAGGCAACTTTGAACACCGACTGTCAGACTTAGCTGTTAATACGAGTCAGATAACAGCGACTCACAGCTAAATAAGTTATATCAAAAATAAAGGCAGGAAACACTCAAAACTCACCGCCTCCTAATTATTTACTGTTATTTGTGCCCTTTCCACACCCATTGTGTCTGTATCTCGGAGGTCCACAGAATGTCAGCTCCTGCACACCTTGTCCCAAATCTGTGCTCACTGGCCTCACACCAGCCCCATGAAATTGGCCACAGGAATGGTACTTACACCATGGAAATTGGCAAAGGTTACAAATCAGTGCCTTTTCTTTTCTGGAGAGCCGGCTGTTAGCAGCACACCAGTGACATCAGAGTCATGCAGGACCTTACCAAGTTATGGACACTAGAAATGACACGTGTGTCCTCTCACTTGGGAGGACGTGAACACATCAGGACAGGAATCAAAACAGGCATGTGTGTGCAGGCGGGAGACACAGGCCTGTCCCATCCCGTCTGGGACCCCAGTCCCAATGCTGCCCCTCATCACTCCTCTGGGGGCCAGAGCCTGCCTCCCTGGTGCCCCCTCTCATCCTCCCTCTGCTTCCCTAGCCCTGTCTCCCTCTCATTCATTCCCACATCTGCTGGCCTGACCCTGGCTGTGCTGTCGTCACACAGCTCATCCTTCTCACCAAGCAAACAAACCCCCCACCAGTGCGGACACACTGCCTTCCTAACATAGGCATCCTGGGAGAACCGTCCACAATCAGCCCCTACCGGAGGCATCTGGCTTCAGTCTGCACCACGTGGGCAAGGTCGTCCCCACGGAGGCTGACAAGGGCACCACCCTCCCGTCCCTCATGACACTAGTGGGTCCCATGGGGCTGCCTGCTCTTCCTACCCTGGTCCACCCACCCCTTGAGCACTACATCACATTCACACTTGCAAGAGAAACAGAGAAGTGGACAGGTATAGGAGAAAGGGTGACGGAGGCAGTCCTGGCATCTGAACCCCAGAGCCTGCGTGTGGGACGTTGTGAGGCAGCCAGACCGGGAGCAGACGACCAGGCCAGCAGGGGCTGCCGAGGACAGTCATCAGTGAACACATGGAAGCTCCTGGCTGTTGCTGCGGGAGAAGAGCAGGAAAGACAGAGCCGTCTCGGACTTTCCAGCCACTCCCCCATCTGATGAGGCGCCAAACCCTGAAGTTGTGTGCCTTCACGCGGCACAAACAGGTGCCTCCCATTGGCGGTCAGGAAATACCGCACCAATGTGACCTGTCTATGCCCAGAGCAGCCACAACGTCCAACGTGAAAAGTGTGGCTCGGGGGGCCCAATGGGAACCAGAAGCTAAGGGCCTACTTCCTTCCAATGGCCTAGACGGCCTGTCAAATGCAGGGGTCCAGCCTCCACTGACCCCTCACGCTGCCCACCGGCTGCCAACGCTAACGGTTATTTGTGCTGCCCAGAGACTGTCAGGAAGGGTCACAGACAAGTCTAACTGCTGACTGTCATCCCAAGGGTGTGACCCCAAAGCTGCTTGGACCCACAAGCTGTGTCCACACAGTAGTTCAGAAGTTTCTCCAATCGCAGGTGGAGTTGTAGTCGAGCAGCCATGAAACAGAAATAGTCGGCTGACTTAAGTACCTATCACATGTGACTTTTCTGTATTTAGATAAAAATAAATGAATAAAATTGTATTTTTAATTAAGGTAAAGAAAGTGCATCCACCAGATTTGCAAATCCCTTCATATCCGTGTGTAATGAACAGGGAGCCGCCAATGTCTAAAGACCTAAACAACCAGCACAGCAACATTAGTTCTCTCCTCCCAGAGATCAAAACCAATACACAGGGGTCACTTTTGGATCAATGACACGTAAGCAATGTAAATTAAAGCACCATACATACACTGAGTACGACGATTTCGTGACTAACAATTGACGTGATTTTACAACGTCAGCGGTAAGAGTGTAAACACGGATT